GCCATCCACGTAGCGTTGCATTGCTTTGGAGCACTTGCCCTCCCTGAGAACCAGCTTCAGCGTTGAACAGATCCTACTAGGTCCAGAGTATCTACCGGCAGACTGCCACACAGACACAGAGGGGCCAAGAGGTCATGGGCTACGTTACCTCTGATCAATGGTCATTAGATGGGTGGCTGAGCCTGGAGCATGCAGGGTCTTCCTGGTGACAAAACTCCACAGCAGCTGGGTCTGGGACTGCGGACAGGCTGAAGTTATTAAAAGTTCACTTGTGCAGGATCATCTTTTTAGTATCTTTTCCCCACTTAATCTCTGTTGCTCAGATTCATTTCTCAAAGGCAGAATTAAGAGTGTCTCCTGGGTGCGGGTTCCTGGCTAGGGAACACCTGCCTTTCTTTACAGACGCCTCCCCTGAGCACAGGCCCTCATACAGGCTTGTTGGGTTCAGAGTTTTTGGCACCAGGGGCTGGTCTTATGGAAGACTTTGTCCACAGATCTGCAGCTGCAGAAAGGTGAGGGGAGCACATGCCGGTGAGCCTCCATGCAGCCCACAGTGAGGTTTTGCTCCTGTGACAATACTGGGCTGCCCATCTGATCCGAGGATGCGTGAACAATGGGGAGCAGCTGTGAATACAGATTAAGCTTTCTGATCTGTGGCCCAGGGTTGGGGACCCCTGCCCTAAGCAGAAGAAAATTCCTGCCTCCAAGTAGCAATGTCGAGGTCAGCAGTAGTCCCTTGGGCTCCTTTACAGTTTCTGCCAGCCTTCCCTAAAAAATAAATGAGGGCGCCTTGGACAGGGACATTTAACAGAAAACTTCTCACCTTCCACCAGAAAGGCTCATCTCTAGCCCAGCCTTGAGCTGAGAGTGCAGGGAATCCCGTCCCAGCCTGAGTATTGAGACTGCAGGCGTAAGCCATTGTGCCCAGCCTGCCAACCTGTTTCTTCACATTCATCTATTCCAAGAGCAGGACCCCTACTCTCCCAGCAGTGAACTTCAGAAGAAGCTGCCCATGCCTTGTCCATGTTCAGCCTTGGTGTGAGGTCTGTGGAGGTTACTGCACAGGAAGGAAATGTGCCCAAAGCCTCTCCTGCTGGAGGCCTCTTCCATTCCCGTGGGGCTGATTCAGGCAGGTGGGTGGCATGAAATCCAGCTGAGGAGGTCAGCTGTGCTGGGCTCCCTTCCGCCCAAGCTTTTGGTCTCAGTGGGCCATTCCTACAGACCCACTAAAAGTATCTGCTCATCCTGCTGATAAATGTGATGTGTCCTGCCCTAGAAGGTGGCTGCATTACAGGGGTGTTCATTTCTCATGCGTTATCACCTGGACCCCCAAATGCTCCAGCGAACCCCCAGGCATGCTGGAAAACAGGGCATCTGGGACCAGGCAGGTAACAGAGAAGGGTAGAAAAATTGAAATAAAGAATAAAGGGAGAGGACGAAAGAGCAAGGAGGTCTTGAGAAGTTGAGCTGCTTCACTGTGTCCTTATCTTTGTGTTGACCAGTAGGGTCACCAGATCCGGGAAGAAGGTACCCTAAGAGTGAAGGAGGCCTCTTGAGAGGGCCATGGCGAGTAGAGAGTTGGGGACATGCTAGAAAGTGAGAGAAGGAAAACTCCCCTGCTTGGATTGGAGGCTGGGCTTGACTTTGCCAGGTCCCCGTCTGGTCTGGAGCGCAGCGAGGCTAGGTGAGGAGTGGGAACTAGCTGGAACCCTGGCTCCACTCAGCCCGCAGATGGCACTGACTGTGGGGGAAGGGGTGACCCAGAGTTGGGCGGGGCTTCCTCCCCGAGGTCCCTTCTGTCTCCATGCTTTCCCCGCCTGGACCTGGGGCTTCGGGCTCCGAGCAGTGCCGCTCGGGAGCCTGTCGCCCTCCTGCGCTCTCCACTCACCCCATCGCCACGTGCCTCCCCCCAGCGGCCGAGGGTGGCAGGCGGGGGTAGGGGAGCCAATCCGGGCAGCGCCGAAGGGGGAGGTGGCGGTGACAGCCGCGGGGAGGGGGCGGGAGGAGAGAGGCTCCCGGCTCCGGCTCTGCTCCACGCTGCCTCGGCTCACGCTCCCTCGCTACCCAAAAGCGCACTTCCTGCCCCACGACCCCTCGGCTCTTCAGCCCCCGACCCACCCGCGCAGTGGCCGCCAGGGGGCGCCGTTTGAGCAAGCGCCTTGTCCTGGCCACCCGGCGCCCCCTCCCACCCGCCTAGGCGGGAGGGGGTTGCCGGGGGCCATGCGGGGCCAGGGCCGTAAGGAGAGTTTGTCCGACTCTCGAGATCTCGACGGCTCCTACGACCAGCTCACTGGTGAGTCGGTGGCACGGGGGTCGTGGGCGGGAGGGCAGATTCTTTCCCCCAGACCCTTCAACCCCTGACTCGGCTCCACCTGTGTTCACTCCCTCCCTGGGGTCGGTGGACCCGATCAAAGCCTTGGAGCCTGCAGGGCTAGGGGCTAGGGGGCAGGTACGCAGAGGCAGCAGATGTGGGCGCGTGTGACACAGGACTGCAAGTGTGCCTGGAGTGGGCAGTGTTATGTGAGTGAGCACCTGTCACTCTTGTTTGTGGCCGTGTATGTATGTGTGTGTGTCTCCTACAGCTACTTGCCATGTGTCCTGGACTTGGCCATAGCCAGGGTGAGTGTGATTGCATGTGGCAATGCAGTTGTATAAACGAGTGAGATGTTTGAGTGTAATTGTGTAAAACCTTGGGTGTTCTAGTGTGTGGACTGCCTGTCTCTGTTATGTGTGCAACCGTGTGCTTTAAGCATGTGGCTCTGTGCTAAGTGGTGTGTGGTGCCAGCGTGTGTTGGGCTTCCTTGTGCTGCCCTGTGTCTCTGTGAGACTTTGTGACTGTGAAGCTTAGGACTGCGCTTGCTGGAGTGTGGGATGCAGTGTTCTGTGACGGAGAGCCTGGGCCAGTGGTGATGGCATTTGCTCTGCTCCTGTGTCTTAAATGCCATGCATGCTGGGGTGCTCTGTGAGTGTCCGGGATGCTTTGTGTCCTTGCTGGCTCCTTGGTTTTCTAGTGCAGGTGGGGTCTTTAGCGTACCCTATTGCTTCCCTAAGTTTTCTGCAAATAGCCCAGGTGGACCCAAGAAAGGACTCTGGCGCTAGGCTCCCCAGACTAGCTCCCAGGAGCACCCTGTGGTTCCAGCACCTGGATTCAATGAGGAGGTCCTGAAAGTTATATGCATGGCCATGGCCAAAGCTCCTTCATCCTTGGTAGCCCTTTAGAACTTCACCCACACCCCAGAGAACAGAGGCCACATTCTCCTGCCTTCCTCCAGAGCTGGAGATAGAAGCTTGAGGCCTGGGATTGCTACGTGGTGGGCCTCATGTACTCCAAACCACTTTGCTGCTGGGACTCTCTCTCTCTCTCTCTCTCTCTCTCTCTCTCTCTCTCTCTCTCTCTCTGGGGAATGTGTGAGATCCATACACTCTGCATTCATCTGTCTCTGGGCTTGGGTTACCTCATGTATGTTCCTATGTCCCATGACTTCCTCAATGGAGTCAGGTGAAGGCCCAGAAATGGGAGAGGGACTAGGGTGAGAATGAGTGACTGCGCCATTCACTGACCAAGGAGATCTTAGATGCAAGCCTCGCAGAAGGGGGACCTTCATGCAGGCTGGACATGCATCTGATCTGGAGGGGCGCCAGGGATCCAGTTACCTATCACCGTGAAAGCGGTCCCCATTACCACTCTGGGTCCTCTAGAGGAATAAGGGCACGGGCCTTACCAACATCACAGTGGTCAGTGTTCACCACTTGCCTTAACTGCTCTCCCCTGTAATGAAATCATCCTCTCCTGACTAGGCTGTTGGGTCAGAGAGTGGGTGGCAGGGGAAGCACTTGTCTTTGAAGGTTACTGTGTCAGGTCAGTCAGGAAAGAAGGGTACCAACATCGTAGTTTTTGCTCTCTTGGCCTTGCTTTTCTCATCTGTGAAATGGTGATACTACTTTTCTATCTGCCAGCCTGTCAAGGGAAATAAAAAGGTCAAATGTTGACAAGTATTCAGAATTGGGGCCCTGTCATCAGCATCCTGTGTATAGACAGCCCACACATGATTTAAAAAGTAGAAATAGGAGTTAGGCTTCATGGCACAGGCCCATAATTCCAGGATTTAGGAGGCTAAAGTAGGAGGATCTCGAGTTCTAGGCCAGCCTGAGATATATACAACGAGACCCTGTCTTTAAAAACAAACACAGAACTAGTGCCAGTATCTGTCCACTAAGCAGGGCTTACAATGGGAGTCAAACCGCTTTGGGACACCAGTGTTAGTAAAGCCTGGCTCAGGAAGTCCCCTGAAGAGGTCGTTATCCTTGGTGCTGAAGCGCGAAAAGCCTCCCCTGCTCTTCCCTGAGCTAAGCAGGATTCCTAGGGTCACACAAGGGGCAGTCGCACAAGAGGCAGTGTCCAGCGTTTAGCACCCCGCCAATCGGGGTGCAGAAGGGGTCTTGAAGTTACTCGTCAGGGAATCTTGGGTTCCTCCAACTTCCATCATTCTCAACTTCCGCCCCAAGCTCAAAACTGCTAGGAGAATCTTTTCAGGGTGACAAAATCCGAGTCCTACACCATTGCCTCACCTAACCCTACGGGTTGCCTGGCGGCGCGGCACAGTAGACAAAAACTGATCAGCAGCGGACCTGTCGGAGCAAAGCAAAGGAAGAGCAGGAGTGAGCAGGGGACTGGACCAGCTCGCCCGAGCTTGGCGGGAGGCTGTGCTCTCCGGAGGCGGAGTCTGGCCGGGGGCGCTGTTCCTGGTGGCTGGGCGCCGCCGTGTGGCGGAGAGGAGTCCCGAGCGCGCAGTCACCGGTGCGAGGACTGTAGCTTTCAGTCAGGGGCAGTTTGGAGGTGACTGTGTTTTATTTTGTCTTGTCTTGTTTCTGTGTAGTCCGGGCTGGCCCTGAGCACCCTGTGTGGCCGGCCGGCCCGGAACCCCTGCGACCCTCCGGATGGTAAGGCGTGAGCCACGCTGGGCAACTGTTCTCTTCCAGCCCCAGAGGGAGTTTTGGTCGGAGTCGGAGAAGCGGCCCAAGCCCTTCTGCGGGCTTTCCCGGACCGCGGAGGGCTGTGGGCGGATCGGCTGAGACCCGGAAAGGGTCGGCGGAGGCTGGGGGTGGGGCGTCCCCTGCTTGCCGCCGCCCCGCGGGCGCGCCAGCTTCTTTCTCCTTCTGCTTCCTTCCTCCCTTGGCCCGGGAAGCTTGGAAGTGCGGGGGAGTTGCCATGACAACTGTGTCCTCGATCCCCTCGGTACCCCTGTGCCAGCATGGGTGGGGGCTGGCGGAGCAGGTGCTGCAGAAGGCAGTGCTGGAAGATGGGATTACTTTCCCCGCGGGAGACCTAGGAAGGGCTCTGAGAGGGCGGGGCGCCGACGCCACACCCGGAAACTTCCAGGAGGCGGTACTGCGTACCACACAGAGAGGCCAGGGTGGGGCCTGGGGCGCGTGAGGGACGCGGCGGGAGTGCAGCGATGGCTCTCTGGAGCATGGACCGCTGCGCCCGCCGGTGCCGGAGCCCGCTGGGGCAGGCAGCACGGTCCATCTACCAGCTGGTGGCTGGGTCGCTGTCGCCAGGTAGGCGGTAAGGAGAGGCGGGGCAGGCCTCTCCTGTGAGCAGAGTGGGCCGGGACCCTCCAGGTGGGAAGGCAGGGCCCGTCCAGAGAAGGACACAGGTGGTGGGAACAGGGTCCCCAAAAGGGGTCAAAGGGTGATCCCCATGGAAGTGCAGAGAAGAAAGAGAGCCCTTTGGAGCCTGCGAGTACAAGGCAGACCTGCTAACGGAGGGTGGGGGTCAGTAAAGGGGCAGGGCCCAGGGGTGGAGAAGCTTGGGGTGAGAAGGAGGTGCGGCCCTTGATGGCTTTGCTGGCAGTTGAAGGAGCCTTAAGGTGATGGTACAGTGTCCAGCAGGGAAGCCACGTCCATGAGCCGGCATCTCCTGCATAATAGGAGGGACAGGTTTGCTAGCCAGCGACTTCATGTCACCACCTTGCCTCTGGACTGTTCATCGTGGGAGCGGTGCAGCCCAGGGCTACATACTCCTCCGTCACCTGGCATTCTGCAGATTTGCTTTGGGCTGAGGCTTCCCGGGGACTAAGTCACTTGTGTGTCTGCCTTGTTGCAGGACTTGTGTGCGGACTGTGGCTCTCGGTACCACTACTGAGATCCATGGGCATCTCCGTTTGGGTTTCTTAGCGCTGCCTGGGCCAGGCTCACAGAGGCCAGGGTCCCCTCTCCACCTGGCCTCCAGGAGACCCAGACATGCGTCCCTGGATGTGTTGAGGTCTGTGGGTCCCTGGCTGCCCCATGTGTACCCAATTTGAGCCCTGGAGGATACACAGGGCCTATGGCCCTGTGTTCCTTGCTTCGTAGCCCCAGACAGAGAGAACTGGGACTGAGCCAGAGCCCTGTCAGAAGCCCCTTGGGGAGCTTGAGTCCCTGAACCCCTGCTTGGGCTTGTCTCCAGTGACAGATGGCTGGAGCCAGTCAGGGCCAGTTCTCAATCATGGCAGGCATAACTTCCAGGACCCAAAATAGCCCCAGTGTCAAGAGAGGTCATTAATCACCTGGCTCAGCTGGGGACCGAGTGAGAGAAGGGCTGTGGGGTCCTCACTGGCTGGGTAACAACCGGCAGCAAGCGGTTACAGGGTGGGTTCTGCCAAACGGCAACAGGGGTCCAGACTTGGACCATGGGAGGTCAGTGGCACCACGATGGCAGGTACCCCTGGTGCCTGCAGGATCCAGGAGAAGCCAGCCTGGTGCCCACAACATGTCTGCATTTCTCCCTCAACCTGAACTGCTTGCTTCTGAGTGTTCAAGCACTCTGGCCAGTGGTAAAACTGCAGCACCCTCAGAGGGTACTAAGCCCAAAGCTCTGCAAAACAGCCGTTCTGCTCCCGAGAGACCTTCCCATCATCTGGGCTGACCGAGGACCTGCAGGGATCAAGGTCTCTGAGAGACAGAGGCGGGGTTGGGGTGGGGGGAGCAGGGCCCCTGGCCTACAGTTTGTAACTCTTTCCACCTATGAACAGTAGCCAGAGCGGAGAATGCTGCTATGGTGCAACCCACAGTCTGGCTTGGCATTCAAGGCTTTATGGAATCTGACCCTTTTGGGGCTTGTTACCCATAGTTCCCCCAACATAAAACTGGGCTCTGGTCACCCAGGATTTCTTGACACCTCACATGCACTGGACACTCAGTCTGAGAGAACTGACAGATCATTCTTTCTCATCATATCAGCCATTATCTTGGGAAAATCACTCTATGAACCTCAATTTCTTAAACTACTATTTTATTAGAGTGGACTTGATGTTTGAGCCTTTTTTTTTTGTCTTTTTGATACAGCATCTCACTATGCAGTTCAGGCTGGCCTTGAGCTCACTTTGTAGCCCAGGCTGGTCTCGAACTCACAGTGATCCTCCTGCCTCAGCCTCCCGAGTGCTGGGATTACAGGCGTGAGCCACCATGCCCCGCTGTTTGAGCCATCTTTAAGAATCAGCAGCCATGTGTGTTGGTACATACCTGTAATCCCCAGCACTCTGGGAGGCTGTGGCAAGAGGATCACAAGTTCAAGCCCAGCTTGGGAAACCTAGCAAGACCTTGTCTCAAAAAATGGGCTGGGGATATAATTCAATATACTGAAAATGCCCTGAGTTCAATCCTTGGTATCAAAAAATTCAGCTCAAAATTGTCCTCTCAGGTGGGCATGGTGACACATACTTATAATCCTAACACTCAGGAGGCTGAGGCAGGGGGATTATAGTGAGTTCCAGGGCAGCCAGAACTACATAGTGAGACCTTTTTTTAAAACAACAACAACAAAAAAAAACTAGCCATATCAGCCAGGCATGGTGGTGCATACCTGTAATCCCTGCATACTGGGAGGCTGAGGGAGGAGGATTAAAACTTTGAGAAGTATATTCGTTTTTGCTTTTGTTCCAATCTGGGCAATTTAGTGATTTAGCAAGATAGTATCTCAAAATAAAAACTGGAAAAGGAGCTAGGAATGTACTGGAAATGGGGGAAGGACAAAAGGTGAACACTCAGGAGGGATGCAGGCTCCAGAGGAGTGAGACTCTCCAGGGTTATGGCCTGGGCTATAGAAACACAGGGGAAGCGTGATGGTGAAGTTACTCAGCACTTGCTCTGTCAGACGTTATTTCAACAGCTCCCTGGGTATGATTCTCCCCAGCACCATACGAGGACGGAAACTCGAGGCACAAGCAGGTTAAGAACTCAGCACCAAGCCAGGCATGGTGGTGCACTCCTGTAATTCTACCATTCAGGAGGCTGAGGCAAGAGGATTGTTGCAAGTTCAAGACCAGCCTAGGCTACAAAGTGAGCCCAAGGCCAGCCTGAACTGCATAAGTTCTGGCTGCCCTGGAACTCACAACCCTGTTTCAAAAAGACAAAAAACAACAACAACAAAAAACCTGAGCCCCTAGTTAATTGCAAGTTGCAAAACTTACTTTTTTTTTTTTTTTTTTTTTTTTTTTTTACTATTATTACAGTGGACATTTTTTTTTTTTTAAAGTAATACATCTGGGCTGGGGATTTAGCTCAGTGGCATAAGCACCTGCATTGAAAGCAGGCAGTCGTGAGTTCGACCCCTGATGCTGATAAAAACAAAAAAGACAAAAAAAAAAAAAAAAAGTAATACATCTGCAGATTAAGTAATTCTTTTTTTGAGACAAGGTCTCTGTGTAGTCCAGGCTGCTCTAGAACTCCCTATGTAGCCCAAGATGGCCTCAAACTCATGGCAGTCCTCCTGCCTCAGCGTCCCAAGTGCTGGGATTACCATGCCCAGCACTAAATAATTTTTAAAGAATATGTTTGTCTTAACAAAGTTAATAAAAGCATTTCAAGGGTAGTTGCATTCACAAACTTCAGCTACATGATTACTCCTTTGCTCATTGTTCTTTCTTTCTTTCCTGAATAGCCTTTGAGATAGGGTTCAGTGGAACTTAGCCTCCTGCGTCTTCCACTACTCTTTAGGCAAGATCCAATGCCCCATGCTGGGCCCAGTGCTCTTACTGCAAGCCCTCCCATCCTCAATGAAGCTTCTCAGGAAGCCTTGGTATCACATTGCCTCAGCCATGGAGACATGTGGTATCACATCGCCCCAGCCATGGAGACATGTGCATGCAGTGCCATTTCTGAGTTTCTTCCAGCTCCTGAATGTGAGCCCAGGGAGCCTGGCACTTTGGCCCTTACTACTAGCTCTCATGCTACACTGCTTGTTTGCTGTTCCCGCTGCTGGCCTGGGGTTGGGTGCTGGATTTCCAAGGCTCAGCACAGAATTCCATAGGAACTCAGGTAACTGGCAGACAGTGAGGGCTGGAGGGAAGGGAAGGGAATCTAAGTTGCTTCTAAATGTAAAGAAAGAAGTGTAGAATAGAGGGAGACCAGAAGGCCAGGCATCCCAGGCAGAGTGTCGCAAGTGCAAAGGCACTGAGACAGGACTGAGTTCGATGTGGCTGAGGAACAGTGACGCAGACAAACTGACTGAAGCAAAGGGGTCTTTAATGAGAAAAGGCTACTGGATGCCCAGGGATGGAATTTGAACAGGCAGGAGATATTTGCAGATTTCACCTGTCAGTTGGTAACCTCTAAGGTATGAGAAACCAGAGCAAACCCTGAATTAACTCCTCTCCCTTGGGGGTGGGAACAAGCCCAAGTGGCCTTTCTCCTCTCACCTCCAGGACCTCCACCTCCACCCTCCCCCTACCCTGGCCTCTGGGCCAGTGGGAAGACAGGAGGAGTGGCATGGATGCCTGACCCCCAGTGGTGGCTGTGCAAAACTGCAGACAGGACTTAGCCACAGCCGTACGACCTGGGCACCGGCTCCACAGCTGCAGTGCTCAGCATCCCTAAACTGGGTCTCCTGTGGCAAGCTTTCTACAGGAGTGGTGTGTGGGACATGGAGTGTTTAGAGTGTAGTACAGGAAGACTGGGTCTCATTACGTCACCTAGGCTGGCCTTGAACTCAGGTGCTCCCTCAGCCTTCTGTGTGCTAGGATTACAGGTATGTGCCCCCATGCCCAGCAAGACTGGGTTTAACAGAGGCTCCAGCCTTAGAGATTTGCCTACCCCGTCGTTGACAGCTTTGATGCCTGTCATGATGGGGTAATAACAGTTCTGCCAGCAGAGGCTGGAGAAAGGGTGCAGCTGAGCCTTTTTAGGTCTGGTCCAGCACATGGCTGTTCCATAGTTTCCTGAGGAGACACCAGCTCTGTGTCCAGGACTGGGAGTGAGTGGGTTTTGGAGGGAAGGGTGAGTACACAGTGAATAGGACATTTACAGCTTAGCTCCCTGGCCAGGGAGTGAGGAGTAGATTGGATTGGGGCCTTTGCTTCTCAAGCCGCTTTGTCACTCCAAGCTCCTCTCAGGATCCAAGGCAGAATGATCTCCAGGGCTTCATCCTTGGAATGGGAAGTTAATTCTCCATGCAAGCCCAAAGTCGATCGAGGAGTAGTGCTGGAGATAGAGGGGACAATTGTTTCCACTACCCATCCACCCATCCAGAGCTTTGGATTCCCCTCCTCTTCACAAGAGCTATTGGGCTCCATGGAACCCAGCTACACTGGGGTGGGTGGGCAAGGTAGGCGAGAGCGGTGGGGGTCTGGGGAGACTGTGGGATGGACATCTGAAGAACTGGGAGGATGTGAGGGGAGCCGGGGCAAGAGGAAGAAGACCCATAGAGTAAGAGCATCCTCTGTCCTCTGCTGGTGTGGTGTCCGGGAGTCAGACCCTTGGGAGCTGGGGCAGCGGGGCTGAGCTCAGTCTTACCGCCCTGGGAAAGGGTTAGCCAGGTGACTCTTAACTTGCCCCTCCTCAGATGGCTTGGTAGGAAGAAGGCCCATCTGGGAAACCCTGTGTCTGAAGGTGGCCCCTTTCTGTGCCCACCCTCTTAGGATCTAGAAAAGACCAACATTGGGGCCAGTCAGGTGACTCCACCATCAGATGCCCCAGACATAATCCAGCATTGGGGAGACCAGAGTCACCACTAATGGAGCCCAGGGCTGGGGGCCAGACCACCATCCATCTGTTGCCTGGCCCACCAACTCCCTCCCAACTCTCCATAGCTTAAGGAGGCAGTCACCTTAGGCAGTCACCTGGTTCTAGGGGTGGAGGGCTTGTTCCTGGCTTGGGAGAGCAGGGCGGGTTGGGGGCTGGAAAGGAGGTAACTTGTAACTAAGGAAGTTGGGCCCCTCTGGGAATGGGCTGAGGTCAGCTTTACCCAGTTATCTCATAGCAGGTTCCATCTGGCCCAGGAGTCTGGAGGTGCATGCAGCTGGGAGATACAGACACATAGACATACACACAGAGACACATACACCTATGCAGAGAGTCCCCAGGGTATAATTAGAGCTACAGGTCCTGAGTACAGAAACAAGGAAGAGGAGGGGAAAGAGCCATGATTAATGGACCTTGTACAGCCCCACACCACACCAGAATATCCAGCACTGGTTTGTGATTACCTCAGTGCCCACTATCAATTTGCCTTCAAAGAGCAAGCCACACTGGGAAGGATTCAGAAGAGGCCACAGTGCAGTGTAGATCAGTTAGCTGACTGGGGCCTGCGCCTCACGAAGAAGATTCTGGGTGCCTTGGGGTGAGGGCTCACAGGAAAGAGGAGTGTGCCTGGGATGAATGAAGCCTGACTGGGTGAAGATAAGCTCAGGTCTGGATGCCTTGGGTGCTATCCACAGCATGAAATGGGCTGTGCTGTGGTAACCTTGATATGTATTGTGCTGGGCGTTTTTGTTTTGTTTTTTGTGGTACTGGGGGTAAAACTCAGGACCTTGTGCTTGACAGGCAGGCACTTATGCCACTGATATCCCTAGCCCCTGTTGTGTTTTTTGGTTTGGTTTGGTTTTTGTAAAGGGGCTTTTTTTTTTTTTTTTACTATTTTCTTTTTGGTACTGGGAACCAAACTCAGTCCCTCACACCTGCCAGGCAGGCGCTGCATCTGCATCGCTGAGCTACATCCCTGGCCCCCCATTGTGTTTTTTGAGACAGGGTCTTGCTATGTAGTTCAGGTTGTCCTTGAACTCAGTATGTAGTCCAGGCTGGCCTCAAACTTTTGGTGACCCTCCTGCCTCAGTCTCCTGAATCTGGGATTGCAGGTGTGTGCCACCAGGCTCCACTGTCATGGTGCTCTTGGCACAATAGGACGGTGCCCCAGAGCCACTGTGAGCTCGTGTGTGGTTTTATAATGCTGTGAATGGTACAGCCTGTTACATGGGTCTCTACGTGTGTATCATGGTCTATTTAGGTCACATGCATACCTTTGTGTTAAGGAGTACTAGGGAAAAGTGTGTGTGTGTATGTGTGTGTGTGCATTTGCATGTGCTGGAGTGCATCAGGCCTTCAGATGTGAGCTGCAGGATATCATGCTGTCCCTGGCGCCTATTTGTGGTTTATCAGTTTATGTGTCACTATATGTCACATGCACGTGTGTGTGTGTGTGTGTGTGTGTGTGTGTGTGTGTGTGTGTTCATTCTGTGTGTGAGAAGTATTTCTGCCCGGGCAGGCCTGAGGCTGCTAGGACCTCTCCCTTGGCGCCCTGGCATTCAGAGCCCTGCCTCTGGCCTTCCAGTCCTTAAGTCCAGCAGGCCCCCTGCCTACCCCAGCCCACCTCCCTTCCTCTCCTGGCCCTGCCTCAGCTGGGTGGTTCTGCAGTGGTGGGAGGGTCTGGGAGGGAGGGATGAGGTTCAGGAAAGTTAATGTGCCCTCCTGGGGTCTTCTCTCTTCCCAGGCCACCCTCCAGGGCCCACTAAAAAAGCGCTGAAGCAGCGCTTCCTCAAGCTGCTCCCGTGCTGTGGGCCCCAGGCGCTGCCTGCAGTCAGTGAAAGCAAGTGCCTCCTCCGCGTGCTTGGCGGGCAGGCGGGTGGGCGGCGGTTGTGCGTGTGAGGGGCGCAGCTGCCCTGCTCGGATGCGAGTGTGCCCAAACGCCCGTGGGCTTCTTGAGTCTGCGAAACCCAAAAGGGCTCGGTGGGTCGGGCCTGGCCAGGGTAATCTGTGGGCGCCCCCCATACCGGACCACTAGAGTTTCCTACCCGGCCTGGCCCCAGCCGTGTGGCCTCGCGTTAGTGACAGTACTCTGTCCCTCCTTGCCCACCCCATGGGGCTGTAGTGAGGCCTGTCCCGTAGCTAGCGATTTGAGCACACTGAGTGTAAACCGGCTGGGCCCCATGCGGAGGCAAACTTGGAAGAGGCAGCGTGGGTGTGTGCCTGTGCGTGGGTGTGTGGGGCTCTGTGCCTGCGGGGCGCGCGGCGGCCTGCGCTCTCCGTGACGGTTCGCTTCCTGCAGCCTTAGCGGCCCCAGCTTCCCTCCGCCCCCACCGGCCCCGCCCGCTGGACCCAGGTGACTGTCGCTCTGGTGGGGCGGGCGTTCTGCGGGGCGCTGCCTGGGACTGGCCTGGGGCACGGGGTGTGGTGCAGCCATGGTTGGGGGCACGGCAGGGGCGTGGTAACGGTGCTGGTGGGTGATGCTTAGCTGGGGAGAGGGAGGAGGGGGAGGAAGGGGCGGGATGGGCGGGCCGGCGTGGGCTTCCACAGACTCGAGCTGCAGCTCCCGAACCCCTTGTCCCACTTCTCCCTTTTGGGACGATGGTGCTGCAGGGGTGTCCCTCTCCGAGCAGGCCTGGAGGCCCTGGGGTGAGAGCTGAGGCGGACACCTTTCTGGGGCGTGGCCTGGCCGGCCCTAGACTTGGAAGCTGACAGCGTCTTCTCTCCCTGCCTGGATGTCCTCCGAGCTGGGACAGGGAGGAGGGTGAAAGGGCTGGTGATTGTGAAGAGTGGTCCCAGGGGCCCGGCCTGAGGCGAGGCTGTCCCCACCGCTCCCTGCAGACAGCGTGGAGGACGAGTTTGAACTGTGCACTGTATGTCACCGGCCCGAGGGCCTGGAGCAGTTGCAAGAGCAAACCAAGTTTACGCGCAAAGAGCTGCAGGTCCTGTACCGGGGCTTCAAGAACGTGAGTGGATGCGGCTGCCAAACGGGATAAGGGCTGGCACGGGGAGGCCAGGTGGGCCTCGCCTTCCCCTGCTCTTGGAGGAGTGAGGCTGGAGGGAGGAGCGGAAGAGGCCCTCTAGCTGGAGGCTGAGGCCCACTGGTGAGTCCCAGGTTCCTTTTTTTTTTTTTTTTTTTTTTTTGGTCATTTTTTGAGATGGGGTCTCGCTATGCAGTTCAGGCTGACCTTGAGCTCACTTTGTAGCCCAGGCTGGTCTCGAACTCCCAAGGATCCTCCCACCTCAGCCTCCCTGAGTGGGAGCCACCATGTCTGGCCCAGGTTCCCTTTCTCTCAGAGGAGAAGGCTTTGGAGGGTGGGGAAGGGCAGCTTTGTCTTGGCCCTCAGTGTGGTCCTGCCCGCAGGAGTGTCCCAGTGGCATGGTAAACGAGGAGAATTTCAAGCAGATTTACTCCCAGTTCTTTCCTCAAGGAGGTGAGCAGCTGACCCTCTTTAGAGGGCTGGGAGGTGGGGGATGAGTGGCCCTGTCCTTGTCTGGAAATCAGTCTTTCTCCCGTGTTCTCCTGCAGACTCTAGCACCTATGCCACCTTTCTTTTCAATGCCTTTGACACGAACCACGATGGCTGTGTCAGTTTTGAGGTGAGCTGAGGGAGGTGGGCTGGGTAACTCTGTTTCCTGGTGCTCCATGTCACATCCAAAGAAAAGGTTGGGGTGATGGGTGCATGAAGACACACAGTTCCCTGCTATTTCCTTCCCAGGACTTTGTGGCTGGTTTGTCAGTGATTCTTCGGGGAACAATAGATGACAGGCTGAATTGGGCCTTCAACCTGTATGACCTCAACAAGGATGGCTGTATCACCAAGGAGGTGCAGGGCAGCTGGAGAGGGGAGGAGCAAGGGGGTGGGGGAGATATAGAGGGCCGGCTGACAACCACAGGGGGTGGGGTCTGCCCTGGGCCCTCTGGTTTGGAAACTAGAGCTCTGAGGAAGGATCTTTTCTCTTGGCCTAACAGGAAATGCTTGACATCATGAAGTCCATCTATGACATGATGGGTAAATACACGTACCCTGCACTCCGGGAGGAGGCCCCACGAGAGCATGTGGAGAGCTTCTTCCAGGTGCCTGATGTGGGCAGGCTGGAAGGCACTAGAGTAAAGGGAGGGAGGCCAGAGTCAGCAGAGAATTTACCAGAGTTATGCCTGCCTCTCTCCTGCTGACCCTTGCAGAAGATGGACAGAAACAAGGATGGCGTGGTGACCATTGAGGAGTTCATTGAGTCTTGTCAAAAGGTACAGGCCTTGCCCTCTGCATTTCCTTGGTCTGGAACCCGGGCCTGAATAAGTGATGCTAGAACAGCCTCCTTTGGACAGAGTTCCTCTTCCCTACCTCACCCAAGCCTCTCTATCAGGACTAGGGGAGCATGGACTCTCTGGGTGTCTCCTTCCTGCCCCTGAATTCCAGATGTCTGATTCAGCGTCCTCCCTGCCTCTGAAAAGCTCTTTTTCCCCCTTGCTCTCCAATTTGCCTTCCTTAAATGATGGCCACAGGACGAGAACATCATGCGATCCATGCAGCTCTTTGACAACGTCATCTAGCCCACCTGAAAAGGAGTCTGTGCTCCATATCCAACCCCGGCAGACCACACCCTTCTCTTCCCAGGTCTGTCCTCATCCTAGCCCTACTGTAGGGATCCAAGATCCCTGGAGCTGCAGGGGCCAGCGAGTGGGCAAAGTGTATCTGGTGGGTGTGCCTAACTCCTAGTAGCCCTCTCTCCTTGCTGCCTGACACCCAGTGTGCAGGGGGTCCCTGCTGTGGGAACTGAGTGGTTGCCTACCTTCCACCCCCACTTTGGAAACCACAACACCAGACCGAATGTCTCCTGCTATGGTGCTTCCCCCATCCCTGGTCTCAGACTTACTTCTCAGAGAGTGATCGTCCATCCTTAGCACTAGCTAACCTTTCACCCAGCCTATGGAATGGAGACAAGACTGCATTTTTTGAGATGGGGTCTGCAGAGCGCAAAATCTTGGGCCTGAGCCAGTGGTTATGTCCTGCAGGTTGGCTGGGGTCAGGAACACAAGACATGGGCAGAAGGTGAAAGCTCAGGCAGGCTGGGCTGGAGCTCCCAAATTCCACAATATACTACCCCATGCCATTAGACTGTTTCTAAATATTTCAGAAGGAGGCCTCATCCCCTTAAAAATGTCCTAGAAATTTTCTATACCCTAGGACAGCCTGGGACCCAGCTATCTGGCTCACCCCTGAAATTTCTCCCCCTCCCTCCTTTGTATGGAGGTGACTGTGGCAGGGGAGTGTGGGTGGGAGGAGTGTTGGCTGCTCATCCCATTTTGATAGCAATGACTTGCCATCACCGTTTCACTGGAGGTTTAGAGTGAGTCAGGGATGTTCCTGAACTTGAGTCCTGTCCACCTTCCCAGTGGATGCCTTAGGAGAGGGAAGAGGGGGGCAGGCATAACGTCATTGCGGGGGGATCTTTGGTCAACCAAGGGTACCCACACCTGGTGCACAGCCTCCTTGGTTCCCTAGGGTCTGTTCTTCCTCTAGTCTATCCAGAGACATCACTAGGCATGCCAAGAGGGCAGGGACAGTAACACCCAGTTCCCATCAACACCGCCTTGCTGTTCTCCCTTAATATACCTGCTTGTCATTCAGCCAGAAGGAGGGAAGGGTTCCAAGGAGCCCCGTTGAGTAAGACACTCTTGACTGCTTAGCATTTTTGGCTCCTCTATATATTTTGTAAAATAAGAAATTTACCAGATCCAATAAAACACCAAGGCTATGCACTGGCTGCTGTCTCTGCTTTTTTGTTCTTTCACCCCATAAATACTGCACAGCCCCTAACTCGCGCCTGCAGCCTTTTAGATCCTTAAGAAATTGCCTGGCATTTTGAATCTGACCCTGTCTTAGCAGGAGAACAAGTGTCAGGTTCTATACTGGTTCACCTAGCCACAGGCCCCCACAAAAATCTTTCTCCTAGAACCTGAGAGAAGACAAGGAAGGACAGGGTATTGATGATAGCCAAGCTGTTGCTTGGCACTCTTACAAACTAATCAAGAATTTCTGATTTACTGCTGAGTACAATTATGCTCATCTGTAATCTCTGCTAATCCAGGAGGCTGAGGCAGGAGGATCACAAATTTGAGGCCAGCCTGAGCAATTTAGCAAATAAAACTAAAAAAGAGATGTAGCTTAGTGCAAAGGCCCTGGGTTCATTCCCCAGTACAACAAAAAAATTTTTTTTAATCAGTACTAGGGATTGAACTCATGACCGCCTGTTTGCAAGGCAGGTGCTTATGCCGCTGAACTAAATCCCCAGCCCCACAAAACAAAATGTATACCCTTTCATTTCATAAGTTTCTAAAGTCTAAATTTTTTTTTTTTGTCTTTTTCCTTTTTATCAGTACCAGGGATCGAACTCACAACTGCCTGCTGGCAAGGCAGGTGCTTATGCCACTGAGCTAAATCCCCAGCCCCCAAGTCTAAATTATTTATGATTCTTTTCTATTAGCTTCAAGTATTTAATTGTTTTAAATTTAAACAAGTATTGTAAACTGTAGAGATTAAATATGTGTTTTCATAGACTTATATTGTGAACTAAACTAAGACTACTTTTTTGTGACCTCGTTGTGATCTTTTGGTGACGAATATATATAATAAGTGTTGAAAAGACCAAAACCACCATTACCCAGTCTTTCCCTCAGCCTTCCCTTTTACAGAGGTATCTTAGTCACTTTTTTATCTCTGGGACAAAATATCCAAGATGACCACAACTGAAAGGAAGAGAGGTTTATTTTGGCTTACATTTTAGTCCATGGCCAGCAGCTTGGAGGCAGAAAGGGCATGGTAGGAGGGGCTGAGGGTGGTGACTGGAAGCCCAGAGAGGAAGGAGAATAATACCCCCAGGGGTACAGTGCTGCTCGCAGGCCCCACCTCCCGACAGCAAGTGAGCAGGAACCCACAGAGGTCAACCCAGAGCCCAGGGCATGGTGCCCCAATTACCAGTCATCTTCCAAACACAAGAGTCTGGAGAGGGTGATACTACTTTTATTTTGGTAATTCTTTTTTTTTTTTTTTTTTTTTTTTGGTCTTTTCCTTTTTTTGCTAAACCTCCAGCCCCTGGTAATTCTTTTTGAGACAAGGTCTCACTATGTGTAGCTCCAACTGGCCTTAAACTCATTATGTAGCCCAAGCTGGCCTTGATATGGACAGCCTGTCTCAGTCTCTTGAGTGCTGGGGTTATAGGCATGCGCCACCACACCAGGTTTGGGGATATTTTAAATGCAATCCGCAACAAGAGGAAACAACCTCAGAGGAGCCAAAGAATTTGCTCGGGTTCCCAGGTGAGTCTTTGCAGGAGCAAGCCCAGACACGTTCCCCAAGTCGCCAACTGGGCTCTAGGGCACTGTGAAAAGGCATATGAAGGACAGACCCTGTGTGTGCCGCGCATTGTCTAAAGAAGGGACACTGGCAGGTTCTAGGTGCTCCAGTTTATAACCAGGCATTTACCAGAGTGACTACTTCTCTTTGATACATGGTGACTTCCTTAGGGCTCCTTGGGTACCCGGGCTAGGTTTCCCCCTTGGAGCCTGGCATGTAACAGGCATTCTACAAATGACTGTCTGGCTGGGTGGATAAGCACAATGAGGAAGTAAATATCACTGGCTCAGACTGGAAGACACCTCACATTTTAGTGTAGACCCAAATACAGGGAAAGTTAACCTTAGGCTGAGGATCACCAGTGAGCTAGAAGTAACCTGAGAGAGGATTCACAGAGGCGTCCAGGCAGGCCAGCAGACTGGAATCCAAATCATTTTGTTAGGGCCACTGGTCTGATGCTGACCATGTCAGCTGTTGTCATCTCCAAACTCTCTCCTTCCTTGCCTTGCAGTATTTCCTACTGACTTTTTTAGGTGCTCCCCAGGGCCTCCTTGTAGATTCCATATTAACCTGAATTCTAAATCTTCGGCACCAAAGTTCATACCAGAGCCTCTTCAAATCATCTCAAGGGAGAGGGATATAGAATCCAGGGCCTTTGCACTGTATCCCCAGGGAGGGGCAGGAGACAGGACTCTACTAAATCTCCACATTGCCCAGGCTGGGCTCAGACTTGAGATCCTCCTGCCTCAGCCTTTTGAGTGCAGGATTACAGTCATGTGCCACCAAGCCTGGCCATCCCATGGCTTTATGTACCATCTAAGGCTCCTAAGTATATCTTCAAAATGCTGCTCTGATTGCCAACACCTACATAAACAATTGATTATCTGACACCTCATGTCAATGTATAATGGCCCATTGTAGTATCTTTGGAATGTTTAGAAAGGTCCATGCCTTTCCTGTCTCCTCCATTCTCAGTATGTAACACCAACATCTACCTTCTTTTGGTTTGTTTCTTTTTTGGAGACAGGGTCATGCTCTGTAGTCTAGACAGGCCTTGAACTGCTCTATCCCTAACTATTATCCTCAACTCTTCAAAATTTAATAGTCTTTACTTCTCTTTCCCTTGCTCTCTCCACCTGTTTGGCAAACAGTTCCACACCAGAGCTTTTACTTAGTCCAAGCCACTGTTACTACTCACCTAGATTTCTACCCTTCGATCATATGAAGTGCTCTTGTTGTCCTTATGAGTCATCACATTACTAGCTTTCCCCTTTCCAGTACTTAAGATACTGAATTTCTGTGTATATATTGAACTTGTTATTGTCTTATTTCTCCAATGCAACTGTAAAGTGTGACTGTTTATCCCGGGCCTACCCAGCAGTGGTCCCTGTTGCAGGTAGGCTGGGGAGGTGGGGGAAGTAGGGCTGTGCCATGGAAAGAAAATGCTAGCAAAAACCAACTCTTCACATTTGCTGTGTGAAGACACTGAAGCTCCCTAGGCTACAGACCTGAGCCTGGGCAGTGGAGAGCAGATAAAACTGAGGCAGCCTAGGCCTTGTTAGCAGTTCCCACGGTGTGAGGAATGAAGCAGAGACAAGATCAGAACCAGCACCACCCAGAATGCCCCTGTGCCTGCAATTTCCATCTGAAGGGGTTACAGCCCTCCACTGGCATCATAGCAGGTCCTACAATGAAAGGGTTCTGCAGCACACACACAAAGCTGAAGGCACACAGAGACGGTTAGCATAACCCTGTGCTCCAATGATGAGCAAATTTATGAAATGTTCCATACTGAAAAGAAAGAACCACCCGGGCTGGGGATTTAGCTCAGCGGCATAAGCGCCTGCCTTGCAAGCAGGCAGCCCTGAGTTTGATCCCTGGTACCGATAAAAACGAAAAAGACAAAAAAAAAAAAAAAAAAAAAAAAAAGAACCACCTAGAGAAAAGAAATTCTTGCTCCTAATCCCCATCACCACAATCCAGGACTAGAAAGAGCTGTAAATCCCTCGAGTTACAAATTGGGCTACGCTAGTTAAACAGCACATCGAAATAAAAAAGTGAGATGTTTGTGCCTCACAAGTTGAGACGGATCTCTCCAGCACCATCAAAGTCAAGCGCATTATGACGGCACCAGGAAGCTTGGGGGAACGGAAGTACAGCGGCAGCTGGGGTGGGTATGAGTGAGGCTGAGGGGGCAGCACGGGGCGGGGCAGAGCACCTCTTCTAGGACTCAAGAATGCTAAAGGAAACGACGCCACTGAGGCTCTAGGGATCTCATGCCATCTTACACAGTGAACACACCCCACCCCAAACAAGCTGTACCTTTCACCCCTCCCTATTTACTCCTCCCTTCTTTCGGCAGCTGTTGTTCCACTAATCTGGATTGTCCTGCTCAATCTGGTTAATTTCACATTTTTATGACCCACCTTAAAAGTGAAGCAATGACCGGGAGTTATTTATTTCCTCTTAGTTCCCGAGACTCTTGAGTACACCATGCAAGAATTCTGCGTGTAGACAGGTGTGGTTAAGGCACATTCTGGGTGTACTCTGGGAGGCCGGCCGAGACAGGAGGATCGCAAATTTGGGACCAGCCTGGTCAACTGACCAACCCCATTTTAAATTAAAAAAATATAAAAGGGTTAGGGACGTAGCTCAGTGGACATTCTTGCTGTAGTGCGGCTTATCACATCTGCCTAGGGCCGCAATGAAACATGCTTCTAATTTGCTGTGCCTGCGTTTTTTTTTTTTTTTTTTTTGTCTTTTTGAGACAGGATCTCGCTGTGCAGTTCAGGCTGGCCTTGAGCTCACTTTGTAGCCTAGGCTGGTCTCGAACTCGCAACGATCCTCCTGCCTCAGCCTCCCGAGTGCTGGGATTACAGGCGTGAGCCACCACGCTCGGCTTCAGTGCCTGCGTATTTCTGCCGACCGTGCAGTGAGCGCATAAGGGCGCCCGGGTCCCCGATGAGGCAAGGTCAAGAAGGGTCGGCTGAACGAAAAAATGCGTCTTAAAATCTGATTAACGGGGCGTGGGGCGGATGGCAAAATGATTCAAGGAGTAGAGGTAGCTGAGCTCGGTGGAACTGCGTTCCTGTAGAACTCAGCCTAGGTTCGGCAGAGGTGAGGAGCCAAACGACAGCATGAACCACCAGCGAAGTAGGTCAGCGCCTGCCTGCCTCTTTAAGAACGCGGGGCCCTGTTTCTGCGCCTGCGCCAAAGCAGAGTAAACACCTCTCCTCCCCGCCCTCCGCCTCTCCCCGGGGCCCCCCCGCAGGCTGCAGCCTCCTCCGATACCACCCTCCGGGAGGGGGTAGTGGTCCGTCCCAGGACGTCGGGCTCCCCTGGGAGGGGGGGGTGAATCTAAGTGGTACCTTCCACTGCTCTCATTCCGCGCGCGTCTTGCCTCCGCTGGGTTCCATTTACCCCCTCCCGGGCCCGCATACTAGACCTGCCCGAGGAGGAGGGGCGCGGGCCGAGGGACCGGTCTGATCCGGTCTGCGGCGCAGGCGCAGTGCGGATAAACAGGAAGCGGGTGGTGGAGGCGGCGGTAAGGGTATCCGCGGCTTCGGGGTGTTGGGCGAGCGGACTCCACTTGCTGGCGGACAGTAGGCTCTGGGCGCGAGATAAGGGTCTTTGACGTCGGCTCCCAGGAACAAGAGGCCAGGCTCCGCTTTCCTCTCGGGCTCCCGACGCCCGAGCCAAGGCCGCGACTGACAAAGACTCGCCGCCGCCCTTCGCATCCGGGCACTCGCGCCCGCGGGGGGAGGGGCGCAGGCCGAGGTCCTCTCCCCGAGACGCAGGCAGAGGTGGCGGCGGCGGCGGGCAACAGGAGGATGGTCCAGAAGGAAGGCAAAGCGGCGCTAGAAGAGCGCGATGCAGATCTCAATTCTAGCCCCGTCGCTTCTGCAGGAGCGGCGCTGGAGCCGCAGGCGGCGTCTGGCCCGGGCGACGACCATCCTGCCGGGGCCGCGGCCGCCGCGGGGGCCGGGGCTGTTGGAGGAGCCCGGAGATTCCTGTGCGGCGTGGTGGAAGGTGAGCGAGCCCCGTCCGCCCGCTCTGTGTCTCGGCGGACGGTGTTTACCGGAGGGTTAGCTCGTGGGCACTGCTCGCTCCAGGGGGAGGTCAGGGTGTGCTCTGTTCCCTCCTCACGTTCGTACACAGCGTCTAGTTCTCTCTGGCTGCTAACGAGTCTTCTGATCGCTCCTGGTTTGGGTTTGGAGCTAGGCCGACTTTGAGGGAAGTCGTTGTAAGCAGCTTGCTATTTGTTAGGTTCTGAGTTATGCTGCTTTGTATTTTGGGGTTCCGTTTAGGTTTTCCTGCTGCCTGGAGAAGAAATGTGCTCGGCGTGGCGATGATGCAAACCTGTAATCCCAGCACTCCGGGAGGCTGAGGGAGGGTCACAAGTTCCAGTCCGTTCTGGCCAATTTAGCAAAACCCTGTGTCAGGGCCGAGGATATAGGTCGGTGTAAAGCCCGTGGGTTCTGTTCCCAGTAGCCAGGAAAAAAAAAAAAATGCATGCGTCAGTGTAGTGCTCCTGTTCCCACCCTTTGAGGAAAATAAAAACCGTGACAGGTATGCTCCTACTCCTGGAAAAGAGCAGTTGGCCTATGGCATTCCAAATTCCTCTCTGCCTAGAAATTTTTTACTGGCCAGTAAATTTCTCTGCTCTTTTAAAGAATTATTTTCAACCTAGAATACTGTGATCTTTCCCATCTACTTAATCAGTGTTGTTTTTTGGAGAGGAGGGTGTAGTTTTGATATTCTCAAAAGCATCAGGATTTGGGGTTGGAAGTTGGTGACTATAGGCTTAAAAGTATTCTCCTTCCTCCTTTTTTGCAGTTAAAAGTAAGCTGAACATTTTGTGGTGAAGGAAAATTACCAGGTGATCACAGTTTCTGGGTGAGAATGGACAGTTCTGCCCTGCATTCCCCCCCCCCCCCCCCCCCCCCCCCCGCTTTGTATCGTTACCGGGGATGGAACTCACGACTGCCTGCTTGCAAGGCCACTTATGCCGCTGAGCTAAATCCCCAGCCCTCCCGCCCCTTTTTGGTCTTTTTTTTTGCCCTGCATTCTTTAGAAGCACCAATTAGTAGTGTTTTTTCCTTGAGTGTAGGATTTATTTGAATTTCCTGAAGTACAGTATTTTGGCTCATCAGGGGTTTTCCAGTTGTCTAATAGTTTTCTATTATGGATAAGGATATAAAAGTTACTGGTTGTACAAAAGTAAAATAAAGCCTGAAAGGAGGAAAAAGTTGCTCTTGGTTGACAACGTGTGTTGTCTTTTCCAGGTTGTCTCCATAGAAATAGATTATATTGAAAGATCAGCGATTATGGTTTTTAAGATAAAGTGTAATTTAGGGGAGAATTGATTTCAACAAACTTAATTTTGCAGGATGTGGGGGAACTGTTTTGGAATATAAAAAGATTGCTTTGTGAGACGACATGTTTATGGAGCTTGTTAACAGTGAAGGAGGATTTTAGAAAAAATGCATTTTGTTATTTGAAATGAGAGGGATGAGAGTGAGAAAGAAATGCTGAATATAGAAACGTCAAAGATGGGGCCTGGGGATTTAGCTCAGCGGCTTAAGCGCCTGCCTTGCAAGCAGGCAGTTGTGAGTTCGATCCCTGGTACGATAAAAAGGAAAAAGACCAAAAAAAATAGAAATTTCAAAGCTAGACTGGAGTGAGTTTAAGGAAACTTGCCAGAGCATTATACCATCAGAAATTAAAAGATAAGGTTGTGATTTAAACTGGTTTGTTTGCAATAACATTAAAAGGTATGTTAATTATGTTCAGGAGTGGTCCTCTGTTGGCTTTCTCCTTCCTTTGTAACTGTTTCTTTGGTAACTGAACACCTGATCCAAGGCAGATTTCCTGTGGTAGTGCTTCTTGGTTGGCATCATTCCTAAAATAGAGGGTCAGAAATGCTGTCATTAACTGCTTGGATTTTGTTTGTTGCTCTCACAAATCTTTGTTGGTTTAAGTCTTGCGTTAACCTTCCGGCTTCCTCTTTGTGATGCAAATTAGCCAAATTTTAAACATGACTATTAAAGGGCAAACTCAGTTTCTGAAGGTTAGACACTTGAAAGCTATGTTAGAGTACTTCTAAATGGATGTTTGGTACCCACTCTTTTCACAGAAAAAACAATGTAAGTTTTATTAAGAATACTTTGGGGGGGGGAAGAATACTTTAAGCCTAGCCTGGTGATTCTTATTTATAATCAGCACTAAGGGAGCCTAAGGCAGGAGGATCCCAAATTCAGGTTTTGCCTGTGCAGAATGGCAAGACAGTCTCAATAGCTAGGGATGTAGCTCTGGTCGACCATTCCCATACAGTACAACTCAGTGTCACCTGTAAATAAATAGTAATGAATTTTCAATATTGAAAACACTACAGTTTGATATGTTAGTATGTAATGAGTTTTTCTTGGGTCCCTGTCATTCTTTCTGTGGTACAGAGTAATCATTTGACCTAGGGATTGGGGCTGGAGGAGGGAAGTAATTTCATGTGTTATTGGCAGCATTCATGGTACTCCTGAGAAATTGCTCTTAACAGTTGGTGTGGTGTTGATTATTAGATTGAGACAGAAAAGTGAAAGATGAGCGAGCTGTAAGGGATAGTTGATAAGTTACTAATTAACACACAGGGAGCTTCAGATCCCATTTGGTGTCTATATAACAACTTAGATCATCAGTCTACTAAAAAAAAGTCTTTTTTTTTTTTTGTCTTTTTCTTTTTTTATCGGTACCAGGGATCGAACTCGCGACTGCCTGCTTGCAAGGCAGGTGCTTATGCTGCTGAGCTAAATCCCCAGCCCCCTAAAAAAAGTCTTCTAAAAAAAGTTTTTTTTTTTTTTTGTCTTTTGGGGATTGAACTCACGACCGCCTGCTTGCAAGGCAGGTGCTTATGCCACTGAGCCAAATTCCCAGCCCCAGTTTACAAGATTCTGACAATCTGGGGCATGTCGTCATTGTCTGAAATTTGCAATTTGGTTCCTTGCTCTGAAATTCAGACGGATTAAGTTTGCTGTTTAGACCACTTTCACTGTTGAATCTGTCATGAATCTGTCACAAAGGTGGTTGTAGGCTTCTTTTTTAGAACTTTATTTCTTCATTTTGGTCTTAGGCTTTTTTTTTTTTAGAATAAAACCAAGCAAAATAAAACAGAATAAAGCCAGTCAAAACAAGACAGTGTGACACAGGATTTCAAAACAAGATAATAGGAAATCAACAATGGTTAGCATAATGACTCTTGCCTTCAAATAGTTGTTCATACCTTCAGACATAGTAAAATCAAATAAAACAGAAACAGCATGTAACCAATGAAAACAAAACAATGCAGTAAAGGACTTCAAAACAGGGTAATTGTAAATCTAAAATGGCTGCCATAGCATATCTTGTTACAGGAACTTTTATTTTTGAGACAAGTCTTACATGTAGTTCAGGCTGGCCCAGAACTGACTTTCATAACCAGGCTGGCCTCAAACTCACACTCCTTAGTGCTGAGATTATAGGCATAGGACACCATGCCTAGGTATTAGGTATGACAACTTGTTTTTTGGTCTTGTTTTCCTTTTTATCGGTACTGGGGATCGAACTCAACAACCGCCTCCTCGAAAGGCAGGCACTTATGCCGCTGAGCTAAATCCCCAGCCCCAACAACTTTTTTACAAAGGTGGATATTGCTGGATATGGTGGCATGTGACCAATTCCAGCTACTCAGGATGCTGAGGTGAAAGGACAGAAAGTTGGAGAGCAGCCTCAAAAATTTTTTGAAAAGGGGCTAGGGATTTAGCTCAGCGGCTTCTTAAGTGCCTGCCTTGCAAGTAGGCAGTTGTGAGTTTGATCCCCTGTATCAGGAAAAAGACAAAAAAAAAAAATTTTTTTTTTTTTTTGAAAAGATGAGGATGCAGCTAAGTGGTAGTACTTTTACCTAGCATTTGTTAGGTCCCACAATCCTCAGTACTGCAAAGATCATGAATTAATCTTCCTTTTCTAATCCTGTCCCTGATTTTACTACTTTATCTCACTCATCACTCTAGAAGCAATTATTATGTAGCAGTTATTACTAGCTTTCTTTCATTTTTTAAGATTGAGATCCTCTTTGCCGAGAGTGGTAGAGCACTTTCTACATACTGGGAGCCTTGAGTTTATTCCTAGAATTGGGGAGGAAAAAAGGTTTACCTAACTGTATTTCACATAAAGGAGTAGGTTTACCTGTGGTTTTTTGTTGCTTTGTTTTGTTGTTGTTTTGTCTTTTTGAGACAGTGTCTCACTGTGCAGTTCAAGCTGGCTGTGGCCTCACTTTAAGGCCCAGGCTGGTCTCAAACTTGCAAATGATTCTCTTGCCTTAGTCTCCCAAGTG